CTCAAATGCGACAACACAAGTTTAGGAGTTTTCATTTTCACCATTACTTTAATAAAATTTTGGGCCTCTTAAAACTGTGGGCCGAAAGCTAACTTTATTTTGTTCGAGTTACGTCACAAGACTCACAACAAAATGCAACAAAAAGGAAATATTGATAAAAGACTAGTTTAAAAACTCGTAAGTCATGAGACCACTATTAATTTTGGTAATGCATCTCTGACATTTCAAGGTACGAAGAATTTTCTTTTTTGTGGTCATCTTTTACATCGGAAGTGGGCCACAAAGCCTGGTCTATTAGAATATTATCAATGGTGGAAGTTAAGTTGGATTTCTTAATGATTTTTTTATTATAAATTGTTTTTAAATTTTTATCAATTCACATTTTGAGTTTCTAAATCTCTTAAAAATTAGCACCTTTTGTTGGGATTACTAAATATTTTTTTATTATTTAATTGTTTTTAATTTTTTAGCAATCCATTAAAAACTATTTAACATCTACCATTGATCATGTTCTTATGCCCTGATGCCAAACAGCATGCAAGTGATTGTTAACCACTGCACTACAAGCGCTTTCGGCAGCTACGATGAACTTAGATGAAGAGAATTTGCTTCAAATTTTTCGATTTCTCTCTTATTTTGCTAATTTTTAATCGTTTTTCATCCGAATTCACAACCCAGCGGAATGCAATATATTTTTTGACAAACACATTAAAAAAAAAGGGTTTTCATCAGAATTCACAACTTTTATTATTATTACCTTGTCAAGCACATTAAAAGAACTATTAATCCCACACTTGATAAAAAAATTAACAACATTAAAAAAAAAACAATTGGACATATAAAGAACGAAAAAAACCAACACGTGCGAAAATAATAAACATTACATATTTACCCTTTGCTTCTAAAAAGTAGCTTTCCTTAACGACGTGAAAGTAACGGAGCTACCTAACGGCGACGAACCAACCTCAATGTCAAACGAATCATATCGCCGGAAAATCTCAATCACGAACAACCTCGCCACCAACACAACGAAATCCTTCCCTGCACACTGTTTATTCTCCACCGTCGGATTCTCCGTCTCCGGTCCATTCGACCAAACCACATGCCTCAACAACCTCTCTCCTTCTTCTCCGACGAATCTCTCCGCAACAAACTCCTCCGCTCTTTTGAATATTTTCGGATCTTTCGTCGCAAACGGTTGGTATCCGTAAAGCATTTCTCCAGCTTTCACTTTAAACGCAGCGTCGTGGCTTTCGATCACCAGATCTCTCTTCGCACGGCCGTATTGCGCCGGTACCGGAGGTTCGATCCGGAGACATTCGTAGACGACGGATTTCGTTAACTCCATGTCCTCGATCCCTCTCATCGTGATCTCTCCGCCGTTGGATTTGATCACAGATCTGATCTCTTCCGCTAATCGGATCTGGAGCTTCGTACCCGCACGCCCGACCCGTTTAACTAGATTCGAGAAGAGGATTTTCATACCTCCCCATGTATTGAAGCATGTAGTGAAGAGAAGATTATGACAAGCTTCTTCTTTAGAAATACCTAACCTCTCTGCTTCGACGAGAATCTCACCGGAAGATTCGAGGAAGAACTCGTACAGTCTCTGGTAATCAGATTTGATTAGCGAAGAAGGTAATCGGAAAGTATGTAGAAGACTGTCTTCCACAAGCTTAGGTAAACCTAAAGAGAGTAAAGGATGGAGATTGAAGAAAATCCATTTCGTGATTAGCTCCGGCGCGTCGGATCCAAGCTTTGTATCCGCCGGATTCTTACCGTACATAGCTCTAGCTAAGAACTCGAAAGCGGCGGATTCACCAGGAGTGTTGAAATTAGCTTTTCCGTTAACGGCGAGCTTTTTCTCCAAGTTATCGAAGAGGTTTGAGTATGTTGATTGAAACTCCGGGAAGATCCGGTTCCGGGAGAGTTTAAGGAGGAAGAAGACGAGTGATTTGAGCTTTGCGTGGTTTGGTTCAGATGGGTCGAGGTAAGAGAGGACTCGGTAACCACCGGTTAGTTCCGTTGAAGGCATGTAAGTTCCAGTGAAGAGATTTTTCTTTTCGACTTTATCAACATCGAACAAAATCGGAAAACTTTTACCGTCGAGTAAAGCTACGACTTGTGGATTCTCAGCTATGAAACCACCTGGAGGCATATTGACTCGGAAAACTGTTGATTCGTATTTACGGATACGAGATTTGAAGAATTCTTCTGATCCTTGATTGTAGAAGTAATCGAGTCGGTCTTTGATCGGTCCAATGATCGGTAAACCGTAGTTACCTGGGATTCCTCTGATCGGAAGATCTTTGGATCCGGTTCTTGTAGCTACGGCGAGATCAGGAGGAGGAGGAGTAGTACTACTCTCTGATGATGAAGCTTTGATCGGACGGATTAAAACACGAGTTGGTTTGAAGAAGTTGGATTGGATCTTATGTGTGTGAAGAGAATTAGGGAAAGGAGTTGAAACAGAGGAGGCCATGGTTGGATACTGTACTGATTGTGTGTTGATTTTTTTTTCTTTTTCGTGATTGTGTTTTGATTATTTTGTGAAGAACAGAGAGGAGATTAGAGTTTGTTTTTAT